AATCGCAACCATTCAGAAAATCGCCGGCAGTATCACGGCGGACCATACACTATGAGCCAGACCACATGGGTTTCATTCCGAGCTGTGGTTAACATCAGTAGTGAGTGATATCCACAGCCGGTAATAGGCTCACCTTCAACTGGCACTGACCAGCGTGGTGAAGTATGGTCAAACAAACCCCCTTGACTGACATGGCACAAGGGAGGCCTTTACCCAGTGCTGGATTAGCAAAGGGCTGTAAATTGTGATAATTTGAATTGGGAAAATGTCAAAACTGGGTGGTTTTTAACTTTTGCCGACAAAACTGAATCCCAAATGTCAAAACTGGGTGCACCCTGGGTGGCCAAAAACTTGAGTTTTGGACACTCAGGGTGCACCCAGTTTTGATATTTGTCAAATACACTTGATAATTGTATACTAGCACAGTGTGCCAGCACTGTGCTAGTATACATGGGGCCTCGTTGGTAGGTGGTGTACAAGTACAATTAAACTAACTGCTGCTTCTCAGTGACACTGTCTGTTTATCTTCCATTATATCGTTTATAAATGTACAATGTGTACACGGTTTTTGCCCATTTTTGTTAACTGTCAACTTTGACAGTGCAGGAGCTTGTTTGTTTTTCCATTACATCTGCTCACGGAAGACTCGTTCATTTATTACCTGCCTTCATACCCTCCCCCACTGTTTTTTCCCCCATCATTTTCAAATTCCCCTGAACGTGAAAGTGTCGTCTCCAACTACACAAGCCAGGCAGTCTGACTGCCCTCCCTTTGCTCCTGAAGGAAAACGTCGCCCGAAGCGTTATGAGGCAAATGCTAATAATGAAGGCAGTGAGATTTTACTTTACGTTATTATAAGGCTGAGGTTACCGCTCAGTTCTGTGCACCTATGGCTTACAGACTCCGTGTGCTAAATCCATAACTGCTAGGGCAACAAATATCCCACTTTTTCCTGGCTCGAAATCAAGTTTCATGAGATTATTTTATTATTCCTTTCCTGCTGATTTTGCAGAGTTATGTGTATTCTATCTTTTTGTTTGACATCGTCCATTTTCACCCCTCTCCCTCTTCCTGATTATGTGTGTTTTTGTGTGGTTTCGGGTAACTTAAAATTTTAAAAAATTACGTATAGTTTAACGTTTTTTTTTGTTACCCTTGCACCCCCACACTTTAGTGTACTGTTCTTTACAAAGCTAGATATTGTATGATTTAAAATGGTGACGGTGACACACATTGCATCCTTTTTCTTCCCGAGGCGTTAACATCTGTTCGTGCCAAAGTGTGCACGCTCACGAGCAGCCGTGGCTTTACTCGAGACAATCTCAACCGGGCATCGTTGTTCGCGTTGCCGACGTCCCTCTAGGCCCGATTGAGCGCAGTTCCAGCTCACAGGTCATGAAGTGTCCCTCTGAAATGTGTTGTCTCTGCACATTTCGGCTCTAAAGAGAAACAAATACACTGTGTATTTACTCAAGCTGCCACCTTGACTTATTTCAGTATATTCTATAAAATTTGCAGTGTGAGATTGAATTTTCCAAAAGATGCTTACAGACACTATCCTTTTTTTAAATCCAGAGAGCGCAGACACATGATTCAATCTTGAAAAAAATTGCTGCATTGGCTTCCAGTTGCCAGACGAATATAGTATGCGGTGACGCTCATTACGCACAAAGTGCTTGCCACAGATGAACCACAATACCTTGCTGATCTCGTCAAGGAGCATAAACCATCACATGAACTCCGGTCATCCTCGCAGTGGCTTTTGGCTATCTATCGGGCAAAGATGGTCACTGCATCGCGCACTTTCAGATGCACGTATGTGGTCGTCTGGAACGCCTTCTGATATTAGGAAGCCACTGGAGCTATGAACTCGTTTCTTTAGAACTGCTTTTTGTCTTTCGTTTGTTGTCGTTTCTCCGCAACTCCGATTAGTACGGTTGGCTACGTACGGTGCAAAAGAAATTAAACAAAAATACACACATTGGCCGATCTATGAAAGACCCAAGGATATTTCAACCAAAAGTCATACTCTTTTTTTTCAAAGCCACAAAATTCGCCTGAAATCCAGCATGGGAAAATAATTGAAAGACACTGATCCCCCAAAGTGTGGGCTTGTGTTCTCGGGGCTTAGAAAAATACCACTCAGCCATGCTACAATCTCAAATGCAATGGCGTTAACACATGAGTAACTTGGTGCATTGCGGTTGACGAATGTCAAGAGGGATAAAGCAATAATCGTTTGTAAATGCGGCCTCAAACTAGGAGTTGTGACAACACAACGGCCCAGTTAGAGTGATCGAATTTACGCTGAATTGGTGCATGAGAAAAACAAAAGACCTTTGATGCTCTGTACAAACGAGAATATTCCTATGAGGTTATCCCAATGCCCCTTGAGGGCAATAAGACACCTATACCTTGACTGGGAAGAGTAACGTTGATTTGCAAAACACACACACACAGCAAAAATCACCAGCAATTGATTCCTTATTGATTCCTCCACCCATGATGAGGACTCTGTCTATACCAGGCCGACTGTGGTACCTCATCCATACTGTGCTCAACCACCGCATTGCAGGTCACAACAACGCACTCATTCACTCACCAACTCACCACACTGCAGGTCACAACAACGCACTCACTCACCCACCCACTCACCCACCCACTCACCACACTGCAGGTTACAACAACGCACTCACCCACTCACACTCACCCACCCACTCACCACACTGCAGGTCACACCAACGCACTCACTCACCCACCCACTCACCCACCCACTCACCACACTGCAGGTTACAACAACGCACTCACCCACTAACTCACCCACCCACTCACCACACTGCAGGTCACACCACTTATCTGTATGCTTCTTTCCTCGCACTGCTCAACTTTGGAATTCCCTCCCATCGTCTATTTTCTCAAGTTCTTAAAATAATTAACCTCGCTCAATTCCAGGAGCATGTACCATTACCTTCACGAGTGCTGTTTGTGGCTGGCTGCTCGGCGTTTCGGCCATGTGCGCAGCAATTGGGATGCAAGAAAACATGCAAAAACTAAAATAATCAAATGATCACAAATCCGAAGTAGGATGTTCCTGATGAAGAGTTTTAAGACGCCATGAGAATTTCCTGGGCAATTTACGAACGAGTGGAATGTTCTTGTCTTCCTCGCAATTTTTTGTTTACAATTTGAATCGTCCCTGACCTATATAGGTAAAGGACATCGGATTGAATTTCATGCCGCAGTGCAACATGCATATTCAGACTAAAAAGCCTTATATATATAAACGAGTGAATAATTCTAATTATTAATAATAGATGCCAGAAATAAACTATTCATTTGAGGACACTTCGCTCTACTTGTGAATTAAACATCTTTCTACCAGTTAACAAAAAAGGGGACACTTTCAATTTAGCTGAGCGTACGTTTCAATTAATCACATACGCCTACATTTGAAAGAGTAAAGTATGGTTCTAGATTTGAAGCTTTCGTGACTGCAAGGATTCATACTCTTAGGTTTTTTCGGTAAAGTCACGTAGGTAAATAATAATAATAATAATGAAAAGAATAGAAATAATAATAGAAATAAAATTATAAATCGACGTTTCGGAGGCAACACAAGTCTCCGTCATCAGGTGGGACCGTCACAGCTAAATTTACTGTATCAAGTGATACAGTATCAAGTGATACAGTAAATTTAGCTGTGACGGTCCCACCTGATGATGGAGACTTGTGTTGCCTGCGAAACGTCGTGATTATAATTTTATTTCTATTATTATTTATATTATTTTTATATTATTTCTTTTTACCTACGTGACTTTACCGAAAAAACCTAAGAGTGTAAAGTATGGTTGTAAAGAAACTCAACACAAGATTGAAAAACATTGCCTTGTAAAAGGTAAAACAACTACAGGGTGTCGCAAATGTCAGGAAACATAGGGTAAATTCATTTATTTTAACCCCGACATTTCAATATATGAATAGCCTATTTTTGAAGGTAATATTTTATTTACTTTTATTTTTCCTGTGGGGGTCACCTCAAATCTGTCGCTTTCAAAACTCGACCAAGAACCCCGAATGAATTGAGACAAAGCATAATTGATGAACGTTCAAACATTACAAAAGACAATTTATGCATGTGTGAATGTTAATGGGAGTCAGTTTTAACATTTCTTAAAATAAATGAAATAACCCTGTGTGATATGATCAAATAAATATAATAACCTTCTCCATCCTGACTTTTTGGGCCACCCCGTGCATATATAATAGGTGACATTTTGGGCAATGACCCTGTTGCATTGTGATGAGAAGAACCATTGTCCAGCACATTGGTTGGATTAATTTAAAAAAATTCCACCCTTTTGCTTCATGGTGGACATTAATGATCCAGTAGGCCGTGTCTTCCGGTGTGCTAAAAATTCGCCAAGTTGGAAAAATCACCGGCAAATTACTTAATCGAGAAAAACCAAAAGGACAACATCCCCCCCAGACTGGCAGACGAGTGTCCACTTGCAGGGCTGTGCTGCGTAGGGATGCTTGCCACTGGGGTCCTCTAGGCTACACTGCCGTAAGGCAACGGAATGGTTGACATGACATGATGTGAGGAGCTTTGAGATGCTGAGGAAAATATAAGCGCCTCATGAATGTTCCGTGTAAATATTTGGTCTTGTTTTTGCTTGCTGTCTTTGCTTTCCATTCCCACCCTGCAATGTTCTGTAGCTACCACCACAGTCGATTGTCTGTGGGGCTGTCGTCCTCCAGCCATGGTGCTGGCCACCCACCCCCTCACGTGCCGTGCGAGGCCTTCATAGGTGCTCGCTAATGGCACTTACTCCTACAGTCTGTTAAGGCGAAACGGGGGGATCTTTGCCTTTGCAACAGAGCTGCTCAGCTCAACGGAGACTCACCGGCTGAAATAATGAAACATTAGTCTGAAATGCAAATCCTCGCGCGCTACTTATTTTGCCGCCGCCGATCCAAAACGCCCTCCGTCTATTTTGCAGTTTTTCGTGTTCGTGCTGCTCATCTTCATCGTGGAGCTGGCGGGAGCCGTGACGGCCTTTGTCTTCAAAACCCGGGTGAGTGGACCGTGAGTACGCAGTGCAACCCGCTCATGCGACAACCTCGGGGGGGTGGGGGGGGGGGCAGCGGCTCATCGTAGCGTTACGCGCAGCGCACGGCGAGCAGACGTGCCCCGCGCGTCTTCATCGAGAGTCAACCCCAAGGCGGCCCTGGATATTTATAGACGGCCCACGCGAATGCCACACGCGCGGGTCGCCCCGCCGTCTCTCTTCCCAGACGTTCAGCGTAAGTGAAGGGATTACCAAAGTGCTCCGTTACCTTCAGGGCTCCGGTAATACTTCATAAGGCGCACGTACGATGCATTCACGCTCGGTGAAATTCTTGGCGGTCACAATGTGTATCGATGTACATGTGTATGTATGTACATGTGTATGTTCGCATGTATGTACGTATCCGACTTGGCAATGCAGTGATTCGAGCGCCACTGAACAATCATCAGGTTGAGAGTTTAAATCCCAGTCAGTGGGTTGAAGTACCCCGTCATTCTACTGCGGTTGAACACTGTGCTGAGGAATTTATTTTACTTGAAAAAACTCTCCCAAACAGGGGGCCTCAAGCATGGCCTGCTGCAACCCTCAAGGCTGCAGAGTAAAGTAAATTAGTGTGGCGTTCCTACCCTGCTACAGTGGCATGTTTATTGAATGATGTGCTCCTTTGTGCATTACGGCTCTACCTCTTAATATTTTTAAAACCTCAATAAATATTTCATCCAAATGGGTGGTGGAAAATGTTGGCAGCGTATTCGACTCATGAATGGGTCGTTGTGAATATACCAGGGCATACCGCGTGTGGTGAGCTCGGGCTTGCAAGGTGTACCAACAGGTGGCACTTCACCAGTGGATTGAATCTAACTGCATGGGGAGTGCGGTGAGGTACGTTGCTTAGGCCCATCAACCAAGACTTCAACAACGAACCGCACCGCCGACTCACGTTCCAATCCCCCTTCTGTGATCGCGCTCCTGCTGTCACCATCCTAGAATCTCATGCAGATCCGGAAGAACGCTGGCGAACAGAGTGGAACGACACAGACGTCCAGAATAAATACCGCATTCCAGACGCAAACATCGGAACCTCCTGCATTTTGACTACAACTAAAGTAACTATTTATATATTAGCAGGTGAGACCGACTGAGCTCGACCTGGCCACAAATGATAAGTAAATTAAGTGGCTTACCATCTGCAAATTTGTAGCAGCCAAATTGACTTAACGCATGTTGATTCTAAAAGTGGATGGAAAAACCGAAGGACCCGGTGAAAAATCCACGTGACCACGGGGAGAACATGCAAACTCCAAATATATAACAGGCATCAGGCTCGGGATCGAACCCACACCCTCTTGTATACAAGGCAAAGTAGTTAACATCTCGCCACCGCAACTTTCCTCGAAGACACTGGAAGAACCATTAACTCCATCGGAACATAAAAAGGCCGATGTGCACACCTTCATGAATGGAAAATGAAAGATAAGCCAAAGTGCGATTGTGGCCACGCAACCCAAACTATGGACCACATCGTAAATTCCTGGAGCCTCCGCTCCTTCAACAGGAGAGGAATAGCAAAACTACACAAACTCTTCTTTCCTGAACCCCTCGCGTTGTTGCTCGCAGACCTCGACTTTGGCATTTTGCTCCTGGATAGATTGCCATGCACAATAAAAAAAATCGTGCTATTTTCTCATATGTGTGGAATGTTTGTGAGTACTCCATTTTCCTCCCACATGTTAAACGCTCGTAAGTGGAATTTGCCAAACACCTCAAAACAGGACCGTCCTGAAAAAAAAAACAACCTTAAACTTGATACTGTATTACCATGTATAAATGTTGGAACTTCTTTTGCATCGTACGTAGCCAACCGTGCTAATCGGAGGAACGGAGGAAGGAAGACCAATCTAAACACAAAAAGCAGTTCTGAACAAATTCGTTTTCAATCGAGTTTTAAAAGTGCCTTCCTAATGTCAGAAGAAAGAGCGTTCCAGTTGGCCGCAGAAAAGCATGCTCCGATTAAAGTTGTTTTGGTAAATGAGTTATGGTGGAGAAAGCCACTCATGCCTGCCAAAATTTGTCTCCCAAAGTTGATACTCTCCACCAGATATATATTTTAGGCTGAAGGCCCAGACCAGGTTCAGAAACCAATTAATTTGTGATGTGCCTGACTAGGAAATGAACAAGGGTGACAAGCATTTGTGGCCAGTGTGCCGATCATAACGCCACCATTTTGACAGATGTGCATACAATACGCCTTACACAGACATGCATCCACACACACACAACTCAAGTATGCACAATTATAATTAGCGTTCATGTAATCCAGAGCCCCTTCTCAATCCGCTTTCTGGATGAAGATCTGCTCATGACATTTCAGTCGTGGCGGTTGTTTGATCATAATTTGCTCCACTGCTCAGTGTGGGTGCGTGAATTAGGCAGCCCTGGATGGGCTCAGGTATCATTCGCTACTGATGATAGCCGTGGCTGGTAATGGAACATAGGGCGAGGGGTTCACAGCTCAGTGTGCTATACCACTACGCTCCTACTGCACCCCCAGATTCGAGTCGATATATCCCCAAATAAGGAAGGGACTGATGCTTGCGGCTGATGGGTGTGGCCTTGTGTGTCAGTGGGGGAGCGGTGGGCTAGCGATTAGCGCTACGCTGCGCTACAAACCCGGCGACCCGGGTTTGATTACCGCTCATGGCCAACACCGGTGACGATTATTTGAACCGGTCCTGGGCCTCCCCTAGGTCGAACCAGCCTCAATTGAGTACCTGGTACGGTGTGTAAACATCGCCACTGGGGAGACAAAGGCGGCCGGGTGTGGTGCTGGCCACCCACCCCCTCGTGTGCCGTGCCGGCCTTCATAGGTGCTCGCTAACAGCACTTGCCCAAACAGTCTGTTCAGGCTATATGGGGGATCTTTGTCTTTGTGTGTGTGGGGAGCGGTGGCGCAGTGGTTAGCACACTGCGCTACAAATCCGGCGACCTGAGTTCCATTCCCGTTCACGGCCAACAACTGTGACGATTATCTGAACCGGTCCTGGACTACCCCTAGGTTGACTCAGCCTCTAATTAGTACCTGATGTGGTGAGTAAACATCGCCACTGGGGAGACAAAGGCGGTCGGGCGTGGTCCTGGCCACCCACCCCCTCGTGTGCTGTGCCGGCCTTCATAGGTGCTCGCAAACAGCACTTGCCCCAACAGTCTGTGTTAGGCTCTAAGGAGGATATTTGTGTGTGTGCTTCATGGGTTTACATAGCATGTTGAGGCCGCACTCCCACATGTGCTAATGTTCATTTCGAACATCCTGCATGCAGCACTCGAGATAAGAGTAAGCCACAAGAGAAAAAGGCACTCATTGCTGTTAAGAAAGCCTGGCTGGGAATATTACACTAATGGGTACCTCAATGGTAACGATATATGGGAAGGAAAGAGTCTCTACTATCTCGTTAAAACGCCTGCTCCTTCTATTAGAAACAGCAGCGCCCCTTGTAAACCGCAGTGTTACGATGGCATACCGCAGTGCCCTCTCTCAACCCCAGTGTCCTCACCGCATATTGCAAGGTCAATACCGAGAGGTCGTTACTGCCGCCGCCGCTGTTGATGTCACCACAACTCACCATGGCTTTATTCCTTCTGCTATAACCCACAACACTTGACCCCCCAAGGTCTCTGATCGCACGGTAGCCTCCTCCTTGCTTTAACTCGTCACCGTGGCCGCCACACCTCTGGGCGCCAATGTTGATCCCTGTCTCGGTGGTCTGCCTCTTCCATCCTCCGAAACGCCCCAGCCGTCAAATGTATCCCCTTTCTGAGTGACATCAGGAAGGCTTTCTTGCCATGTTTTATGCAAAACTTCCAAGTTGCTTACCCCGTCCTTCCGTGACAATAGCAGTACTCGATTACGACATACACTATTATTGAAAGGCCAGAATATATGTTGTATATAATCGCTTTGGTTAAAGTCCACCTTTCTGAATCCTACAGTGGTCTATCAAAAACACACCAAGAATGGTCTAAGAATGGTCTAACATCCAAATAAACTTCGAGCGCAAGGCATGATACAGCATATTTCGAAAAACGATTCAAACAATTATTTTACCAGGTAAGGCCCACTGAGCGATATAGCTCTTTTTCAGAAGCGACTGGCCACAAATATGATAGCTCAAGGAAGTGGCTAATCACGTGGAAATGTATAGCAGCCAAATACTCTAAACGCATGTTTCTAAATATGTGGAGGGAAAAACTGGAGGACCCGGAGACAAATCCACGCGACCACAGGGAGAACACGCAAACTCCAAACATACAGACATCAGGGTCGGGATCGAACCCACGGTCTCCTGCATACCAAGCGAGAGAGTTAACATCTCGCTACTGCGGTGCCCTATACATATACGCGCATAGCTCCTCATATATTCGTACGAGCTACGCTGATAGCTAATTTTATGAGACCATTCAGATGCTTGGAAGCTTCATTCACAGACGGTAACAAGCAGTTCTACACCAGACTGATGATTGCCCAAAGGTTTGTCACGTTGCTTTGAACCTTCAGACCAGTTGGTCCTGCCATGTCAGTGCTTAACTCGCAGTCAGAAAGTTGTTAATTGTGGGTTTCAGAAAAGATGAAATATCCTCAATTCAATGGTTTGCCAACGAGCTGCTATTGTTTCATTGAGGTTATTGGAGCCATCAGGGGGAATGTTGGCTGTTCAGGGTTTTCCCAAGATTAGTGATGTTCAACAGTTTTAAGCGTCTACACACTACATACGTGCACTGCTACCCATCAAGATATATTAGCAAGAAATTAGGTTTCATCATTAAATACGACTTAATCACGATGTAAAAAGTTTTGTTGTTCCATTCAACCGATATAATGAATATGAGGGCAATTAAACATTTTATTGGACCTGTTATTCCATAACTACGGCAGCCTGCCACTCTCACCGTACCACCAAAGAGTGGCTCGTGAAGTTTTGCTGTATCCTCAGGAAATTAAAATCTGTTGCACGTGTTACTTTAAACAAACTATTTAAAAGTCTATTCATGATAAAGCACTGCACAGAAGAGGCGAAAACAAGACAGTCTCTGTATGAGCTTCTGCGGCCGTCTGGAACGCTCTTCCGATATTAAAAAGCCACTGGAGCTATGCACTTTTAAATCTCGATTGAAAACTCGTTTATTTCGAACTGCGTTTTGTGTTTAGTTTGTTGCGCTTCGCACGCACCTCGAATTAGCGCAGTTGACTAGGTACGGTGCGAAAGAAGTTCAACCATACATGCGTACATCACTTGTCCACACGCTCCACTCGTGCTCACGCAGCCGCTTCATCATCATCAGCGGGATTTGCGCTGTGCATGTAACACCACTCAACAGCCTGAGTGGTCTTCTTGCCGAAGCATTGCAGCAATGGATTTATAGTGGGTCTGACTACACGGCAATTATATATAAACCATTGTGCTGTAATGTCAAGACAATGAGCCATAATGGGCAACGTCTTAATTATAATTAACAAATTAATATTGATTTGGAATTGGGCTCAAAGCAAAGGGTTTTTTTTTACATTAAGAAATAAAGTACGGTGCTGCGTTACAGTGATTACATGAAAGCTGCAGCCTCAATGTGATTTTTTTTATTATCATCTCCATAGTCATGGGAAAACTTTCCGAACAAATATAGTCCACGGGTTGACACATACGTTTAGGTTTAGTCGTGCATATGCCTTCATCTGTCTGCTATTTTGTTTTAGTTTGGTATTTTATACCTCTGCGTTGCACGGGTTTGGTTGTCACTTGTTGACCCAGGTTAGCCTTTCAAAGTCTCAGTGGGTTTTCACCCGATAAGATGCACATGCCCAGCCCATTTTGTTAATCCACTGCTGGATGATTGCCTTCCCTCACCATGGAACTCATGGGGGCTTTTTTTACATGGGGGTGGATGTTGGAGCATAGTGCAGTACAACAATGGTTAATGTTGCACTGCTGTCTGGGGGTCAACATGGGCCCATAGCAGCCTGTACCACCTCGTGTGTGCATATTGGTCACCCATGCGAGCACTATCCAGGCTTAAACCTTGCTAAGCTTCCGATATCGGATGAGGTCGGGCGGGCGTATTCTTGTGTGATTTGGTCGTAGGTCAAATTTAGGGATATATTTATCGTTAAATGTGTTACGCTCATGATACACAAACTGAATTGCCCATGTAGGGATCAATTGTTTTTCATACAAGTTTACACCACGGTAGATTATATGGACGATGTGAATTTGATAGACCCTACAAATGCCACACTGAAAGGCTGGCAACGCCGTAGTCATTGATCCATGAATAACATTGCGACTGCAAATTGTGAACATTGATTTCATGTTGGGTGGGCAGAATTGTTGTCATCCAGTTTTGCATTTTACCTTTTTACAATTACTGTAATGTGCATGCATGTAAATATATTTATCACATACACGGGTGGTGGCTCTGCAAGCCTGTACACTGGAGACTAGCATTGGTGAATCACACAAATGTTGTGAAACTCCATCCCCGTGGGTGTCGAGGTTCAACAAGCAGTACAGCAGACGCAGACACATCTCCATCTGATCCATCTGTACAGGTCAGATGGTTGTCACTCGCACGTGTGGGTTTTCTCCGGGTGCTTCGATCTCCTCCCACACTTCGACGCATTAACCCCTTTCCCGTTCCGATGACGTACGTGTACATCATCAAAACTAAAACGGACGAAACACTAAAATAAAAATAACTTTATTGGTACCGAGGCTCCCACAAGGCCATGCAGGAGGGTGTGTGGCACAGTTTGGCACCAGCTATCATAGAGTGCGGTCGTGTTGCTACAGTTATCTGTGGTGAGTACAATTTTTTTTAAACAGCAGCACTATGCCTCTAAATAAAATTAACACCGAGCCAATTGCGCGTTTCGAGATTGAGAAGTGAACGGGACACCCACCCTGCAACTTGCAAACGTCTCGGAATAGGGAAGGGTTAATTCGCCGAAAACAACTTCATATACAGCGGACGGCAGAGCTTGTGGGGGGTAGGTGGAGTTTGGTGCCAGCGCACCGCCTGGCTGCTGTCTCTCCACTTGTCTGTGGTTTCTTTGCACACCCCTGAATATTTGTCTCTCTTCGCGAGTGAGTGAATGCCGTGTGATAAATGTAATGCATGCCCATCGCGAGTCTGAAGTGAGCATTATTGTTATCCTACCTTAACGTAATTCATATAGTGCCATAGCGGAGGCACTTTACGGAGAATTAAGAATGGTGCATATGAATGTAATGGTGAAGATGAGAGGAAGGAATGGGCGAAACTGTGACGCTTCAATTAGGTGAAAGCAAAGTTTTGCTGATCACACAAACACATTTGCACGTACACCTATAGATGTGCTTGCACAAGCACAGACACAGAATTGTATTTGTAGTTATGTGCTCATATTCAAAAAAAAAAATCACTCATGCTAATGTTTATTTTCATTTGCAGCTGAATGAAGATTTTTTCAAGAATGACCTGAAAAAGCAGTACCGTGGAGACAACAACACAGATGTTTTCTCGAAGACTTGGAACACCATCATGATTTCAGTAAGTGCACGGTAGCCTATTCAAGTCCCTTAATAATCAATAATGCAGAGCCCCGTGTCAATGCACTGCTGAATAAGGGCCTCCCCATGCTGTGTTGGTCATGAGGGATATTTGACCATACTTCACCATGCAGGTCAGTGCTCGACCGATGAAGCACAGAGCCCAACACCGTGTCCGATGTTACTGGCCACTGATGTTACAGCCGTGGCCAGGAATTGAATCCACGTTGCCAAATCACCCTGAATGTAGCAATCTCATTAGATCTCAGAAGCTAGGCATGGCTGAGCCTGGTTATTATGGGTATGGGTTACAGTTTATGGGAAGCCATAAAGGGGAGACTGGCCCCAAGTATAGTAATGTTGAATGCTCATTCGCGCTCTTTATCTTGATTATTGTTAAGCTCTGATGTAAATCCCTCTACCTGGTGTTTGAGCGACTGGGCAGTGCAGTGGTTAGAGCGTTTGACTCACACGTTCAACAGTCTGGTAAAGACTCGGCCCATTGTTTTCTTTTTTATCCCAGGGTAGAAAGAATTAACAGCACTCTGTGGGAATTCAACAGTGATTGTAATTAATATGGAAACAGCTGTCCTAACAGAGTAGTGTGGAATTTCCACCACAGAAATGAGCACCACCCATTGCTTGGAGATAATTTGGCTTTGAGTTACCAATTATAATTATTTGGCAATAAATTGTCATTTTATTCTGTGGAGTCACGGATAGTACAGTATATATGTTCAAATATTCACATTTCACGATTGTAATTAAATTAGGCCAATTTCTTCATTTAATGTGGAAAGTGTTCTCCATGAAGCCACCTGTTTGCATGATGAGAGAATACACAGAACTGGCTGGCATGGCGAGCATTGTCTGGCCTCACGTGAACCCATTGCTCTCCCACTTACTGACGTGAACGCTGGCCACTGCATGAATAATGGCTCCCATCATCTTCTGAGGCTATTTTTTCAAAAATGAAGGATTACGTCGCATCACGTCTATCTGTCTCCAAAGCAACGAGGCAATCCTTTCGTAGATGATGGCCATTTGGTAATAGCTAACACCACGCCACCTTAATCCGTTCAAACTGTGAATGGAATGCCGTCGTTCTGGTAAGTAAATTCTAGCGGATTTTTTTTCCGTTCTTTTCTGCAAATGTAATGCAATGCACCTGCCGGCCTGCCTCCGATTCCATTCCCAGCGCTGCAGTGCACCACGATGTTGTGATGATGAACTGCGCCACATTAGGCCACGCACATTCTACACCGCCGCTTTTGTCATGGCTCAAAGCGGTTGGTCACGGGGAGCTACGGTGTGTTATGCCGTGACCGCAGGCGGTGACAAATGTGCAGAGAGTGGGGTTGCAGTGATTCCCTCCCCCAGTTATTTGAGGCCAGTGTAAGGAACCAATGACTGTGATTATTTCCCCTGTTGTGGTTAGAGCCCTCGACTCACAACCGGAAGCTTGCAAGTTCAAATCCCGGTCGCGTCACCTTTCTGTTTTGGCTTAGCACCGTCATTCTCCTGGGCTATTTGAAATGAGTACCATGGGGTCAGAGTACTGAGTTGCTGACTTTTAATCACAGGTGACGACCTGTGATATTTAACGAGGTTCTCAAGTTTAATCACTGCACAGTCAGTTGATGGTTTCTGCGATGGTGACTGCTGCGGGAGAAACACTTCTCTGTAGCAAGGATTGTGGGAGTGTACGGCGCCTCTCTTTGCGTGGATAAAAGAAGTCACTTGAAGATATTATCTTACGCAGGCACTGTAGTCTCATTCTGCAGGTCTTTCTCGAAATGGGGTCAATGCCTGTAAGATTGGTAATTCAAGCAACCCTGACTCCGTGTGTCGAAATTGGTTGCAGAGTTCGTTTGTATTGAAGCAATGTTGCTGAAATTACGCACTCCCAGAAGGCCGTGCGACTGATGGGTTTGTTTGTATGTAGAACTTCTTTCGCACGGTACGTAGACAGCCATGCTACTCAGAGGTGCGGGTTGTGTTAGAAATACTTTTTTTACGTGGAGATGGATATGTGACATTGTCTGCTTATTTAGTTTCTCTAACACGGAGTAACGCGAGTTTGCCTCGTGCTATTATCCCGACAGCGCAATTTGAATTATAATTGGGGGACAAGGTCTTATTCAACAAGTACCAGTTTGTGAAAAGTGAGCAGATGGCATCCTTGAGATGTAATATGAACAGGCGATATCACCCACTGCTTCACGAAGATTAATGCCACCCCGTCTCACGTATGAGCAGGAAAACACTTTGTCTTTAATTGCTATTGACCTATTACGGTCACGCTAGCTGTTAGGGGAAGCTCTGGAAATGATACACCGCAACCTGGGACTTCAGAGCAGATGACTAATCCACTTGCTGTACTGCCATCTGCTGGCCGCCTCGTGATCCAGCAGGCTGGGAGTGAGGAAATCTGCGCCTGTATGTATGGATGTTGAACTTCGTTCGCGCCGTACGTAGCCAACTATGCTAATCGGAGGTGCTTTAAGATCTCCGATTTCATGAAACCACGTCATATAATCCCCGTAACCCATTGAAAACCCGATGCTTTGGGCAGGAGCTCTTTCATCTGAGCGTTACAGTTGGAGAACGGTGATTGGATTTACGAAATTCAGATTTTTGCAGAACGAATTCAGATTTTTGCAGAACGAGACACGTATACAGCACTGTATACTAATCACACATCACCGAGTAACTGATGGAGATTAAGTTAACATTTCCAGAGGGCGCCCAGCACTTTAAGTGATACAGCTACCCTTGCCGTTCAAATCTCCGCTGGCCCACAGGCATCTGCCATGGCACACAGAGCGGCCGGAGTCACACCCGTCGCGCTGCGGTATAGCAAGCACGCCAACTCAAGCCAGACGCAAAAAACAACTCAACACATTCGTCAATAATGCTGTGGCATTTAAAGGGTGACGTTTCGAGGGATGGCCCTTCTTCACAGCACATAAAGAGGCCAGGAGAGGTGAATGGTGCTCGCAGTACCACCACGGGGGCGAGAGATGTTAAGTACCTCGCCTGGTATACAGGAGGTCGTGGGTTCGTTCCCAACCCTGATGCCTGCTGTATATTTGAAGTTTGCATGTTCTCCCCGTGGTCGGATTGATTTTTCTCTGGTTCCTCCGTTTTTTTCACCCGACATTTAGCAACTTCCGTTTGGAGTATTTGGTTGCGATACATTTCCACTTAATTCGCCACTTTGTTGAGCTATCATGTCTGGCCAGGTCGCTTCTGAAAAGGAGTTTCATAGCTCAGCGGACCTTACCTGGTAAAATAAAAACAATGTTTCACAGTTTTTAGTTTCAAATAATTAACTAAAAGCCCGAGGCACGCTCCCAATAGAAATGATCAGGAACGAACACCGGTGTGATACTTCATCAGACTCATTCGAAACGTAAGCACCCAACAAGAGCCAGCGCGAAAGCAAGCGCTACCACCAAACAGTGTTTGTCAATACGTAGTGCCATTCTCAATTCGCCATCGGATGAAGGCCTCCCCGCATGCCGCGTCAGCCATGGGCTTGTTTGTCCTTTCCCGCACCTCTGATTAGCACGCACATGACCACAGCCATGAGCCACAAGCATCAGCCCCTTTCTCTTTTGGGGATTTTCCGACTTGTATCGAAGGGTGCAGCAGTCGCGGAGTGGTCAGCCCACTGCGCTGTGTACGCCGCGACCCGTGTTCGATTCTCACTCGCGGCTAACATCAGCGGCATTTTTACGTGAGAGCTACACGTCAGGCACATGACAAACAGAGCAAAGGGCAGGTGAGAGACGAGACGGAGGCAGACATCATTGGAGAACGGATGAGATTGACAGCGATTTGAGAAAAGACAAAGATGCCACGCGGAGAGATACTTGTTGGCAGGGGCACAGCAAGATTGATCAGTTAGATGCAGCCAATAGGTGGATATGTGATGAGATGAGAATAGATGTGGAGAGAGAGAAGAGGAAAAAGGAGGCATAGAGAGAAAGAGAATAGTAGTGTTGTGAGATCAGAATCAGAATGTGTATTTAGAATGGAGGTATCCGATTAGCAATGAAGCTATTTTTCAGATGTCCAGTTGGGGTGGGTCAGAAAGTTACAACAACAAACAATACACACAACGACAGGAGTTAAACATAGAGACAATCGTCTCTATTTGTGAGTAAATAATACAGCATTACATTTAAGTCTGATTTATCAAGCTTGCGCAAGGCAGCAAAAACAACAACAGCAACAAAACAGTCCCAAGACCACGCGAAAACAAGTTACGCAGACAACACAGAGAGATGCATTCAGATGAGATATGAGAGAAACAATGACTCTGGTGGATATGGAACATGTGCTCGTGTGAGATAGATGAGTGTTAATTAGTAGAAGTCTACTAACGCTCTTGAAGTGAGACAAATGCACGAGGGTGCTACACACACCCCCACCCTCCCAATCCCGCGGTGTCATGTGACCACCACGGGCAATTTAGGGCTAATTAATGTCCTATGCAAACATGTGAAACAATTCAAATAATAGACTGACGTAATTACGTTCATGAATATGCGGCTTTGTAACGTTTCAACGATTTAACATTCAGCCAAAATCAGTATTCAAGGGGCTACACCGCCATCGATCGGTGGGTTGCGTGTGGTGGGGTGCGTTGTGGGCACTCCCGGCTGTTGCAAGTCTCATGGCTCGCATGGAAAATAAACCCAAAATCCGCTCTACGGGGGCTCTCGAGGGCCTCCTCTCGCGGAGACCCTTCCCTTCAACTATGGCATGAGCAAGGCATCGCAGGGCTGTACCGTCATCTTTTGTTCCATCCGCTCCTAATTCCGGCTTTCCAATTCATCGCACAACGACAGATGTAGAGTAGCCACTGAAGGCAATGGACTGGCAAATGTTAACGTCGCTTGCCAACACTCTGCGGTAGACTTCACCGTAAATGTGCCTCTCGCCTTCAGGTGCGTCTTGCATACCGTTAGCACAGTGCTGCATGCCCAGCATCTGGCCAAATGCGATTTGCCTTTTGGTGCATTTGAATGTATTTGCGCTTCAATTATGAGCGGGCTTTCTATTCTATTCGTGCGTGTGGCAGCAATATATTGTTCAGGAGGCATACTGCCAATGTCCAGGTCTGCTAGCCTACAACGAGAGGCTTCAAGAGTGAGTTTGTGTAGTTTTGCTCTTCCTCCTCCGTTGCAGGAGCACTGACGACAATAGGTTTACTGCACCGTCCATAGTTTGGGTTGCGTGGCGACAATCGCACTACTGCGGCTTGTATCTTTAATATTCTATTCATGAAGGAGAGGTGTGCATCGGCCTGCCGGTGATGTTCTCATGTGGTTGACGGTTGCTCCAGTGTCTTCGACGAGGAGGAAGAGGAATGGCAACGCCAGGAGGTGTGATGTTTGGACCTCGAAGGAGGGGTTTATTCTGAAAGCGGCGCTCTGATCTGACGGCACGAGCAGCACGTTTATGCAAATTTGCTCGCACGCGTTCTGCCCATTCGCATCCCTCCCATCAGGCATGAGCCCAATACACACAAACGATGGTGCGACCTCACCCCCATTGCTGCGGCCGTATCTGAGACGTGTAACGTTGGGTTATAAGTGTCAGCATCTCTACGGCCAGCCACACATGTGATGTGTATATGGGAGGATTCCAGCGCAGACAGAAAAAATAAACTCGCTAACAGCACTTGCTGTTAATGCTATAGGCGGGATCTGTGTCTTTGTTAGCTGTGTATATTTGTGTGGCAACTGCGTGTAGTGTGTAGTGTGTGTGTATTCACAATATGGTGGCTGCCCCTCTGCCATGAACATAGAAGAAGGTGGATAAACTATCCTAGAGAGCCTTGTGCAAGTCAGAGTAGAAGTGGCCACCAGCAATGAGGCTCAGAGCCAGTGGTTGAAATTGAACATTCCTGTGACGAGGGTAAGTCTCCTCTTATAGCAATCACTGTTAAGACAGCCCACAAAGTGGAATAATTCCTCCATCCCAGAAGGTTAATGTGTTGAGCTGGCAACGAACCAGGCTTTGAACTCGAAACCATCACATTTTGAGCCGAGCACTAGCCACAGTGCCTCCTGGCCAGATCTCGTGCCATTAACTTATTGTATTTGGCATTGGACGCGTAGCTATGCACATATAAAGCACTGCAGTACAATTTTACCCATGGCCCTCTGTGCATTACTAAGCCAAACACCCCCATGTTGCTCATTACGCTTGCACTTACGCCTGATTAGTTGCTGACACGTGACCCTCACTTCTGTGCCCCATATATTTTCAGAAAAGGTGGGCAATTGTGCATGTACAGTACGCACGTTTTAAACGTTCATTTTATGATCAGTCCTGACGAAACAAATGTGCATCGTATTCCACATTTCCCAAACTTTCATCAAATTGGCAACTTACAATCCAGACAGTTGACACTGTATCAAAAATGATGATGTACAATCCAGCCACATGACACTTCCGATTAGCACGGCTGGCTACGTACGGTGCAAAATGAATTCAACATACACACACACACGATTCGCAATCCCAAGATGAGCTCAATAAAAAAATGCTGACTGAGCACTACTCAGGATGTGCGATGAGCTTTTCCTCTCCCCATCCCCACCCTGTCACCCCTGTCTCCGTTTGCAGCTGAAATGCTGCGGAGTGAGTGGCGTGGACGACTTTGGGAAGGACTCCGTCTTCCATGAGCTCTACCAAATGCAGCCCATGCCGGAGGCCTGCTGCAAGCGGCAGATGAACGGTCAGGAGGGTCACTTCATCAACAAGACCAGGTGCTTCAGCCAAGACCCTGACTTCTACAACAAAGAGGTATCTATATTCGTCTTCAACGTCTTTCGTCCACTGGCCACTTGGGGTGTTTTGGCGCATGTCAATTTCCTTCACCAACATCTGCTCACCTCTCTGTGTCCATCGCGGTGTCTTTTAAACTGAGAAAACTTCCATCCTGTCGAGTGTTTGAGGTTTGACGTCCAGTCAGAGGGTGGTCTTCCTCCTCCCTTAGCCGCGTCCACTCTTCTCTCCATCACCACCCTCAGCAGACGGTCACTGTTCACCCTGTGTTGTCTGGAGTATTAAAGTCCCCGCACTTGAGCTGACTCATGAGCTCCACCTGCCCTGTGGACGATTTCATTGTCAAATTGTCCACTCGAGATATTTTACTTCGTGCCTCTCCCAATCGTACTATTGGCGCGATGTCATGGGCGGACGTTTCCATTTAGGGGTCTTCAAAGGAACCGCGTCACACCACCCTGTGTCGGAGAAGTTAACATCGCACGGCTACGTCCGAAGTCACTTTCACAGCACTGCATCTATCAGCGCAGAGTGGCACACTTACAAGTCCTTTAAAAAGCCTATGTCACGTGGCAGAAACAGATACATTTACATTGCTCAGAGCTGAAATCTGCTGAATTCGGTGTGTATAATGTGATTTTGCCATGGCGTAAGGGTTAGCACACTGGGTCTGCTGTCCAGAGGTCACCGGGTTGACCTCTCAGCAAGTTGCTTAAATCTCCCACCCTACTCTTCACCCAGTCGTGTATAAAGAGAGCAGTTCCTGTGTGATGGGGCAAAGTGTGAGTACACACGTATGTATACTGCCTGACATGAATATATTAATGAACTGCATGTGCGTTAAGACTGCAAAGCGATTCATCTTGAGCTCTTAACTCATGACATCTATTAAAAGTGCTTTTCAGAATCCTGTGCAGTGCAAAAATAAATCGCACTACCTCTAAACTCGCCTCATGGGACTGAAATATTTAATATCCCATGTCATGCTTCCTCCCAGAACAGGGATGAAATGGAACTTCAGTAAGCTGGCTTTGCACTTTCGTGTCTCTAAGCTGTTGTGTAACCAGGAGCTATGATACGGTGGATTGTATTCACTACGGTGGCGTGTCGCTGGGCTCACAACCCAGCATGAGATGGCTTCTCCGTAACATGAGTTAACCTGGAATAGCGCAATATGATTTGCATGTAATTAATGACCAGAACCCACCGTGTGCATTTCTGCAAGGTTGCTTAACGATGTACCGTGCCCACAGGGCTGCTACCTAACCATGCTGAAATCCTTCCAAATGTACGTGTACATGGTCGGCGCGGTGGGAATCGGAGTGCTGGCCATAGAGGTACTGACATTTCCCCCACCGTGACACAATTCAGACACATCTGCACCACCGCTGAGTGTGGCAATGAGATTGTTTAGGATTAGTGCCTTAAATGTTAATTAGCATTCATAACTTTCACCGGGGGTCCATAGCACCCAACACACGCACATATGCATCAACACATGAGCCTAATGATTGCCACTGTCTGTCACTCTAGAACCATGCATTGCAAGGGTAGCTGAATGCACAAAATCACATTCGATAAGATTTCCGCGATGCCAAAATTGCAATTCAAATGAATCATTTTTTTAAGAGGTATTCCAACCGCTGTGGAGCGATGTGGCATCATGGTTAGTGCAATCCCTGTTCACCAAGATCATAACGCTACGAGTTTGTATACCCACACATACGAGCCCCATAACGTTGGTGGGGAGGGAGGGGGGGTTCTCTGGATGCGACCGAGCCCCCGATACAATTAAGCGATGGGCATCACAGTCGACCATCATATGGAGCAGGACGCACGATAGACACAAGCAGTTTGTATCGTTATTCACTCTGTTTAGTGGTTCACGTTTATTTAAAGTCTGTGTGCATTGACAGTGTTGTGCCCGTCCCCAAGTGTTTGTGTCGCCCGCCTCCTCCTCCTTTAAACAAGGTCACACGCCACCGGGTTGATTGACACACACGCGCTCCGTAGTTACCTGCTTGCATTGTTTTCACCCAGGCGTGAAAACCGTGAATCCCTCTTTTTAAATCCTTTATATTAAGTTCGCTTGCTTGCGTGCTTGCTTGCTTGCTTACGACCGTGCAAATCTTTCGGTCGTTTTTTAACCCACTTCCCGTGATCCAATCGAGCTGACATTTTCCACACAGACTCGCTGTGCGTGACAATTAATTTTCGTGAAACATTTTTTCCAAAATTTTACACTGTTTAGGGAAAAATAAATAAGTATGTAATTACCAATTGCGTAATGCTGGCAGACAATCATCTGACCCATAGGTGGCAGCCATCTCAAGCCAGAGGACGAGAGGACTCTAGCCGCCACGCATATAAAGGATTTAGAGTGAAAAACTTTGTTTTTACGGGTTAATTTTTTCTGTGTCTGTTTCTCTCCCCAGCTCTTCGCCATGATCTTTGCAATTTGTTTGTTCCGGGGAATCGATTGAAGCCTCGTCGACGCAACTCTGCTCACCGCGTGGAACCGCCACGGGGCCCACCACAGATAACGGATCGACGAGGATATATTTTTTAAAATCACAACTAGCTTCGAAGCTGTGTCGTGTGCAATTGCGTTTTAATTTATTGTGTATAGAATGTATTTGTACGATGGTTGATTGTACAAATGAGTGGAAATTTTGTCCAAGCGTGCTGTCGCACCATTACTTGGACGCTAGGGATTTATTTACCATTTTTACTAGTTTTTTTTCTCTGGGTATCCAATTTAATCTAATGTAATGTTACCGAAATATACCTTTTTAAAATTTTCGGTAACAAAAAATATTTAGAGTAACTAAGTACATTTTAATGAGTAACGTTTTTGTTGATTACATTCAACACACATGGAGGCAATCCACGATCATCTTACTTAACATCTGGAAGCTATCATTGTAAATAGCTCGCTCCAATAGATAACGATTTGATTAAACACTGGTTATATAACACAGGCTCTACTCGTGTGAAAAGCTGCCGAAATTAAGAGGTGAAAGTATGACATGGAATTAATTTGTATACTTTATTTTGATCTCTGGATATCTATATTTAGTTACCTTAAATAGACACACATGCTAAGGTTTTGTTAGCATGCTTTGAAAGCACTTAGTTTGCCTTTTATTTTACGTTCGTGATGTAGTGTTCAATTGGTAACAGATACATTTTGAGTCAAACTAAAGTATTTAAAGATTTGCAATACTGCATTTTAATTCAAAGGCAATATTACAATAAACATGGAAAGCCTGTACCAAAAATGTAATGAGTGACAATTAAAGTTTCTTGTTTGCCAAATACACTCTTTTCGTGTGCATAAGAATTGTAACAAGCTTACTTAATATACCTTGCTGTGGAACGTAAGAAAGTCCAAGATAGAAATAAAAACGTAAATATATGTTTATAAATAAAGGTTTCGCCCAGGTAATAAATACACTATTACATAATGTTAAATATGCCATATAAAAATAAAGAATATTTTTTTCTGCATTAGAAAATAAATAATTTGCTAAGCCACTGTTATAATTTCATTACTTCTGTTCTTTATCACAGTAGTCTGGGAGAAGACCTTTGAAATAATGAAATCTGCTGTAGTATTCTGAGAGCTCATAATTATAATAATTCAGTAATACTCTTGAGAGATTGAAGCAGAACAAACCCGCCATTGAAATCCAAAAAGACAGGACGCGGATGTGATGTGGATATGTTGATATCTTCAATGTGTCTCACCGGGACATCTTGGGATTGCCTTATGGGAGGTCTGACTCGTAACGGATTTTTTTGGTTTGGCAATAGTCCGAAAGTGTGTTGATGGAAAAATGCAAAACCTAAAGGAAAATGCAATCCAAAAAACTAAAAAGTCTTAGATAAATGTCATGGGGATGTCGAAATCGGTTTGAAGCTTTGTTAATAAGAATTGAAAGTAATGGCCATGTGAAGTTGAGTTGTTACCGTCATTGTAACATCACGTGACATCACAATTACGTTGGGGTGCTGTCAACACCATGCACAAGGGTTGTCGACTTCGTGACACGCGGTGCATCATGGGAACTTCTCCACGTAACTCGTAAGCACACGTCGAGGACTTTTATAGCCATATTGGTGGCAGGGTGGAGCGGTGGCGCAGTGCTTAGCACAGTGAGCTTAATTCGCAAGCCACTGCTCACGTGGGTGGCGAGCGACATCTGAAGTGATCCCTAGCGTGGTGAAGTATGGTCAAACAACCCCCACGACCGACACGATGTGGGGATGCCTTCATCCAGTCGTGGATTGACAAAGGGATATAATTTATATGTTGTCATCATTATAGTGCCACTTTGTCCTGTCGCCAGGAGTTAAGTGGTGAAGTGGACAACCGCTGCATTGCCAAGTATGAATATACTTATAAATAAATAAAATAGCCTGCATTCGTTTTGTGGGTTGCGTGTACAATTAGGTTGGTGAAATGTTGCCATAACTCTGCTGAGCTTTTGCCCTTGTGCAGAGTTCTGCTCCAATTGGCTATTCATAGGACACAATCGAATCAGGCCCCTCTTTGAAATTGTCCCAAATGATGTGGGTGACATTGACATTGCTGAGCAGTAGCAGTACAGACTGTGGCTGGGTTTGATTTTCAAAGATGTGTTTTCTGCTCAGCTATTAACTATGTTATGGTGCTTGTGTCAGCTATTGTTGAGCTCATTGCACCTATGTGTGACCAACTTTGCTGGCCCAATTGTCAATGTTATTCATCCCGATGGCGTTTCACAGACTGTGATGCATTCCAGGCTGCAGGTTTATGAAGGCAAATGAAAGGTGAGGTATTGTTTGGTCGAGTTAAAAAGTGTTTATGAGAGACGAGGAGATTTTGTTCTGACTTCTGAATCTTGGCCAACAGGTCAATTTCAAAGGGCAATTTTTTATAATCCGCAGAATCGTTTACTTAAGAGAATTAGCAATTTATTTAGTATATTCGCCTACTCAATTATTAAAATGTTTTGATTGCTGACCGAATGCAATTCCGGTCATGTTTAAATTTGAAGGCAATAATGTGACATGAGCTTAAATGACAGCGTTATTTAGAGAAGTGTCCAATATGCAAATGAGGGCATTTCTGCAGATGTCACTTATCCTCATTAATGTTCTCCAGATTCACCCCTACCCATTGACCTAGTCTACCAATCACACCACACTCAGCCAATGAAACAACATCCGCTGTCGCCATGGCAACTCAGCATGTCCTGGCACAGTGTGGTGTGAGGGGTAGAGCTCCGAGAGACATCAGAATCCAGGATATTGCATTTGAGAATAACCTCACTTGACTGAGCCTCATCCCATGCGATTAATATCAAATGCGCCCTTCCACACTCTGCCCTGCAGAAGTCCCGTGGCATATCCCACAATAACTCACTGTGGCATAATCTTCTGACCAAAGGGGACAGGGTTATAGTCACTGAAGAAGTGAGTTGGCCGTGATGGATGAATGTTGAGATGCGTGTATGACATCGGGAGGCATTGCTGCCGAGGCAAGGCGATGGCCCGGGTCACAGCGCGGTAACGCGTGGCTTTGTTTTGCCGTCCCTGCGTGAACTCCACCGTTGAGCTGTCACGTGAAGTTATTGTCCCAGCGCAGATGTTCGTCAACAGGAGTAAAATACCTTGCCCTTGGCTTGTACATTTCTAGGATTATTTTCGTTTGCTTGTTTGACTCTGATTTAGAAAGACCTTGGGAAGATTTGGGCCCAGTGTGTTAACAAAAAAAATCGTTAGTGAAAAAAATATGCACACGCTTGATGAAAATAACTTGCATTAAGATGAATCATCTAATCAACATATGGTCTTCAAGAGCATGTAGATAAAACATTTTTTTACAAATTACCATTGTTATGATACGTTTTCCATACAATGCATTTTATATAATAATAATAATAACATTATCAGCCAGGCAGTTGTGGCACACGCCTGAGATCCAGCACTGCCTTCTTCTGGCTCGCCAGGAGAAGGCAGTACAGCACGTTGACTTATCACTATCGGTTTCCATCTATACGGGGATGGAGTGTTGCCCCCTCGCGCGCACGTGGGTTTTCTCCGGGTGCACTTGTATAATAAAAACACTCGTTAATTGGCTGAAAGCATCTTAATATAAAAAAAACCGAATGCAGAACCCTCCTGCAAAAAAGAGTCATACGGCTCAGTGTGGTTTTCCTAGGGGCGAAAATAATAATTGTATGATATGTTTGTTGAGACCAATTCAACTGTTGACATGTATTTAATTGGTAACGTTTTACTGCTAATTTTACACAAGTATGCCCTGTAGGCAAACCTTTTACAGCACGATTTTATCACACCAAGATTCAAACAAGTGCTTTATAACAAGTCCTACATCAGTAATTTCTTTTGTATTTTAAAGGTAACATCACAATACTGGTGATGTGTTGCTGTTATAAAAATCAAGGAAAATATATTGTATGTATTGCTGTGCATCACATACGTTGTACTGCATATGATTAAAAGCGAAATATTACGCGCGATTGCAAGTAAGGTGACATTTTATTACATAATCATGCAGCAGTTTAAATGATGAAATGGTGCATTCCGACGTACATATGCTGAGTTGAATAGGGAAATAAAGAAATGTACCGAGATTGTGAGTGACGCTTTTAAAAGACTATAAAAAAAAGAATATGTAAGAATCTGTGTGCTTTTGGCTTCTTCTCGGCAATCGGATGAGTATTTTTTGTTTAGAATTGAGCTCAGCAAAAATAACGTGGCACAAGTCTCGTGACTCACAGAAAGGAGCCATGGGTTAAATTCCAAACACTGGTGCTCCTTCCTGTGTAGAGTCTGTACGCTCTCCTTATATTCTCCATAGGTTTCCCCCCATAGCTAAAAATAATACAAATATATACAATATAACAAGTGTTGGTCAAACATCCCAGTGCTAAAATAATTCCTGAAAATTACTCAATATGGATTACACACAGTAGCAGCATCGCACCCTACTGCAAAAAAACTTGGTAGGACCCGCTGAATACAGAGTCTTGAGACTCAAGTGAGGCTTTCCTGGGTAACCAAGTGTATTTTTGTTTTCCTGCACAATTAATCCAAGAACTTAAATTTGATTCCTGGCGATGGCCAACTTCAGCTTTGGGGAACCAATCCTCGATTTCCCTTCGTCTGAACAGCTTGGTAAGTAATATAATCATATTTATTTAGACTGGAGGAATCCGGTGAGCAATAAAGCTGTGATGTCCAGTCAGGGCGGGTAGAACGTTACAACGACAAACAACACAAAAAATGATAGGATTGCAAAGTACAAGAAAGGTGAAAAAAATTACCCAAACACATACAAATCCCACTGAGCTATTAACTTATTGTTCAAAAGTGACCTGGCCACAAATGATAGCTCAACAAAGTGGCGCCGGGGGGCATAAAAGGGAAGCCCCGAGGCTGGATAGGGGCTGTCTGTCAGTGGAATGGAACCCAAGGTGCTACGTCTTCTTCTCCGGCGTCGTGGGTCAGACAGCGTGCCGGCTATTCTGACCCGTGTGTGAACAGTATCCAAAGGTGCAGAAGTGACTCACTACACTAGTACAGCACACCAATGGATTGGAGAGCCAAACCACAACATTTACAATCTAAGTACGATGTTTCGGCTGTAATTACAACAAGCTTCATCAGGTCACTGGCTAATTAATTGTAAAAGCTTGGCTCTCCAACACACCGGTGTGCTGTACTAATAACGAATTGGCATGTTCTGTTTACGTGACAAACATCACTAATTGACTTTGTTGGGTAGTAGCGGGTTTAACGAAACATTTATATATTTACGCGATCTAACCTAAAAAACCTGTATTATTGGTGATGTTGGTCGCGAAAGCCTATGTGTTAAACGTTGCAAGCATATTTTTGTGGTCAAGTCTTAGTATCGGGAAGATTTAAATGAATGATCACATTAGGGCTGATAAAAAAACACGTACAATTCGGAAAGAAGACAACAGTGGGTGTGTTAGAAATATACTGGTCCCTGGCATTGGAGTGTGGAATATACCATCGCTAGTTCAGGACTGCGAATAAAGACAAGTGTCACGTAATTTTATTAAATCAATGAGGCATGTTGTAATTAATTGGCTCCCGAACCAAAGGAAGCCCGTAAACTTATCTCATCATGAATGAGTTAAGACACTCGACCTGCAATCCATTTGATCTCGCAGCACAGATTTGAATGGCATGCCATATAGTCAATTCTGTGGCCAGTATGGAAGAGTAGGCCAAATGCCCTCTAGGGGACTCTTGTTCTCTCGAGAGAGAATGGAGGCCCTTCCCACCAGCAGTGGAGTGAGGAAGTAATTTCAGACAGTACAAATCATGTTTTGTTTTTTCAGATTCGCTTATGTGGCCGTCTGGCACGCTCTTCATTCAGAGATTATAAAGCCACTATACCTATGCACTTTCAAATCTATATTGAAAATACATTTATTTAAAACTGCTTTTTGTGTTTAGTTTGTTGTCCTTCCCCCGACACCTCCAATTAGCATGGTTGGCTATGTATCGTGAAAAAGAAGTTTAACGTACGTACATCCATGTTCCCTGCAGTAGGGTAATCTCGTGTTTGGCACGTTAGACACATAGCAGGATAATTGACAACAGCACATGTGAAATATAAAGTACAACATATATAGTCGTAATAGTGTAATTGAACTTTCCTCATTTGATTGGGCATATAGAATAATTAGCATAGATGATATTCTTAGGTTTTTTCGGTAAAGTCACGTAGGTAAAACATCAAAATTAATTAAAATAAAATAAAGATCACGACGTTTCGGAGGCAACACAAGTCTCCGTCAT